CTCTCTTATCAGGCAGGGGTGAATGCCTCTCAAATGCGCACTGGCTAGGACCATGGCGTCAGCATTTTGATGACAAATTACGGTTACGCCAAAATCATAGCAAAACCAAGAGGTCGACCTTGTGTTTGTATTTATTCTGTGCGCCCCTATGTGACACAATAGCTATAAAAAGGCGTGGCTAGTTATTAAATTTAACTATATTGTTTTAATGACATAAAACATTGACAGTTTTGGGCCATTTTGAGCCGGATATAATATGCAATACGTGCCTAGTTTAGCTTACGATTCTTCCTGTGGTAAAAGTGGCCAAAATTAGTTATTTGGTTTATTTGTCAGTCATCAGAATTTTGATTCCATGAATGTGTTTTTGAAAATCACAGGAAGGATATTTCTTGTTTGAAAGTGGTAGCACCAGGGAATTTTGCGGGAAAGATTGAAGGTTTCAACGAAAATTTTCGTCCTAAAAACTTTCATTATTTTTGTAGAATCTTATCCTAATATAACTTCCAATCTTTGTCAAATGGACAACAACATGTTTGTAACAACTTAAAGAAAGCTGTGGTTTGCCTTTGTGGTCGAGATTCGATGTTTTTCAAGCTTGACTTGGCTCAAACTTTATGTTGTATTTCATGCTCCATCTTGGTATGAATGTTGCATCGGCTGTATCGATTAGTTTAGAAATTGCTTGGAATTCCTCTGGTTCCTCTTCTTTAAGGTATTTGAGATTATTTTTGTGTTGATATATTGTGATGTATGAATGATTTGTCAAATTAGATAACCTTTTTAATGCAGAATACGTCTTTTCCAGGTTCGTTTAATACGTCATCTTGCCAAGTGGGCAAATAGTGAAAGCAATACCATGGAGTAGATAAGACATACAGAGACATAACTGACCGTTGTAAACACTGCGGAAGATTACGTTATCATGTACCCACTTTTTTTCGGGCGACCGGGTGAAAAATGATCAACTGCGCGTGCTCAGCAAGTTTAAAGTGAGTCGTCATCAGGTCGTCATCCAATCAAATGCATGCATCTAGTAACTTGCCGAGCATGCGCACAAAAAAAGTGGGCACACTAGTTACGTCTCTGTATGTCTCTACTCTGTGGCAATACTTTCAAGATGGCGTCACGAACCCAGAAAAAGTGTATACAAAACATGTCTAGGAAACTTTAGGCCAATGGAACTGTAGATTTTGTTTACCGTCCGAGAATTTTAAAAATCTGATTTCATTATTTTTATCTATTTTCTGACCAAAAATGATCCTTAAATCGTTTTCTTTTGATTTCGACCATCAACACTTTTGTCTAGCATTCTTTTATCATTTTTGGGCTTTCCTTTGCTGAAAATGTCTTTGTCACGCCATGTCAGACTTACGAATTTCCGAGTGTATTGAACAAATGCGGACTGATCCATCGTACATCAGCAATGTACGGCTTTTTATATCAAAGATTTTATGTATATTTGAATGTTTGGATGCGTAAAATTAAAAATAATGACAAATAATTAAGACTAATGAAAAGTTGGGCGGTAAACAGAATCTACACTTCCCATTGGCCTTAGGCAGTTTTAATTGTCGTATTTTAATATTCTTTTCCCAAGTTCACAAACATTTTGAGGAATTGTTATTCGTTGTCATTATTGTAAAATTTTAAAAAGTTTAGAACATTTGCTTTGCGCTATCAAGCCGTGACAATGCTATGAAGGAGCAAAACAGTGTTGTTTTCAAATATTTTGAATATTTCAGATGTGAATATTAAGCACATTTTTAAAAATCTAAGCAATATATAAATTGATGTTATGCATTATGGGCATTCAATCAAGTACCAATGTTTAGAACGTATATTCATACAGAGCTGTGAAGGAGCTAGACCAGTGGTGTAACTTTACTTTTTTTGACTACTTGCCTCCAGGGCAAGTTGGACATGGAAATTAGTTGTCCTGAATAAAATTCACTTGCCATCAGACAATGGCTGCTGGGTTTCTTAGGTAGGGGTATAAATTAATAAGGGGAAAATATGTCAACCTGTTCTGTCACTGGCAATGCTATACTGCCATGGCAATGCTATACTGTCATGGCAATGCTATACTGCCTCAAATCTAGCTTTGGCCCACAAATTTGAAAACATGCACTATAAAAAAATTATCGACAATGAAAACATAAACTTAAAGATGCCAAGCTTTTTGTGGCAAGGCAACTTGCCCAATCGGGCAAGCAAGATAAAACGTTTACTTGCCCGTCATGATATTCACTTGCCGTGGTGTTAAGTTACACCTCTGTAGACAGTGCTTTTTTCAAATGTATAAGGGCAATTTCACGTTGCGGACATTACATTCACAGGAAAACAATTAATACAAAACATGCTCTGTTTCCTGTTTGCAACAGTTTCAGATCTGGGAACTTTGTCATAGAAAACCTTAAGGGGACCTCTTAATATTTCATAAAATAAAACAAAATTCCCTCGTAATCACTTCTTGTAATAAAAAGTCAAAGTACTGTTGCGGACATTACAGCAAAATCAACCACACATTGAAGTGATGTTCTTAAAATGTAATTTCCTGTGAATTTTGAAAGGTATCACAGGAACTAAAACACTGCCTGCTCTCAATGATACTTGGGGTTAAAAAATATGAAAACGAGATGTTCTACAATGCCCTTGCGCAGCTTCTATAGTGCAAAGTTTGTGTTGCGGACATTACACTGAAACTGTTGCGGACATTACATTTTTGGGATTGTATAGCAATCTGTATTAAAAATAATAGGAAATCAAAACTGGGTGACTGATTATGCACTTCAATGTTTCTAGTCTACATAACAGGCATTCTAGCTTAATTACGCCCGGGCGTACCAGGCGGGGGGGGGCTAGAGGGCGGCAGCCCCCCCCCCAGTTTGTTGGGCTATCAAAGCCAGTCGGGCAATATTCGCTTATTATAAAAATAAATGGGACAAATTCTGTCAATTTTGTGGGGAATTCTGTCGGTTTTGTGGGAAATATGCTATCTCCGGAAAAAAAAAATTTGACAACGCGGGCACAATCCGAAAAAGTAGGGCAAATTTCTTTCCTTCCCCCTAATTTTTTCCTTCCCATACGCCCATGTGTATACCAACATAAATCCTGGGATGAAATCATGGTCACATATATTACAGTATATAATCTTCTGTTGACAATATAAATTTAATATCTTTCAAAAGTGCAATATTTGTTGTGCATTGACTCAGGCAATGATTCGGGTTGTGCAGCAAAAAAGTGTCATGTTTGTAGACCATTCTATTTGACAGTTTTGCATTTACTACATTTGGTGGAGATAATTAACACCCCTGACTTTAGTGGAAGATGATCAAAACAAACATGAACTAAAACATGATTTTGCGCTTAACAACATATGCCTTACAAAACTGATGGTACAATGGCAGTATACGCGGTAGTGGCATTATATGTAACTTGGAAACTTTCCATGATGAATTGTGTCACTGTGATTGTGTATACACAACGGAGTGATTATAGCTAAAAGTAGGGTCCCATAGTCCCTTTAATGTTCTATTTTTAAGTCATCAAGCTTAAAATAACTATAGAATTCAAGCAAGACGATTATATAAGCATCTAATTCTCCAATTTCAAAAATGTAATGTCCGCAACGTAATGTCCGCAACACATTATTCAAGACATGTTAATACTTTTTATTGTCTTTTTTCAGTCTAAAATAATGTTAATACCATTTTAAAAAAGCAGAACAAATATAATGTCAAAAGAGCTAGACGTTTGGCTGAAAAATAAATTGAATTGTTTTTTTTTTGTTGCGGACATTACATTTCTCTTACCCAAACTCTGATGCACCATAAATCACAGCAACACTGGATATTATCTGATCTAACATTGTCATCATGATATTTGAACCTTAGACTGTGTTTGTTAAGAAATATAACTTATTTCAAAGTTAAAGTGACTGAGATATAATTATTTTAAATGAACACACTTTATCCACAGAACAATAGCAACAAACAAGTGCAGGTTCAATGGCTTGCCACAGAGTGGGCATGCGGCAAAATTCAAAAATCGTTTTGATTTATGATAATCCAATGTGTTAACTATGGAAACATGTGGTTAGCACCACATAATGTTACATTTTGCAATTTTGCCATTTTCAATGTCTCATGTGAAATTGACCATCTGAGCTTCATTATCAAGTTCAATTACTATAACCTATTAAAATGTTTACTGTGATTTCCAGTTGAGCGTGGAATTGCAAAAGTTTGTTCGTTAAGTATTGTTGTTTGAAAACAATGTTTGTGACGTCATTCTATGTTACTAGGGGAGCACACAATGTTGTCAAGTAAAAACTGTCAATTCATTACAAAACAAAATAAGTTTCTACTTATAGTCGTGGACTTGACAGTATTTTACTTGTCAGCATTGTCAGCTTGACTAGTAACATTATAGAATGATGTCACAAACATTGTTTTCAAACAACAAAACTTAACGAACAAACTTTCACAATTCCACGCTCAACAAGAAATCGCAGTAAATCACGTTGTTCATCAATAAAAATTTATCGCTAACATTTGTCTAAAAATTGAAACAGAATATGCGAAGGAAAATTTGAATCGCATTGCCTTGGAGTATTGCACCATACTCGCAAGCATTGCATCGCAGTTGGCACCTGTTCACTAAACTATCAAGCTGAAAATGATGCGAAATAGACAGTATTTTTGTTCAATATGCTTCGTGTAATCCCTTAAATAGTGATGTACAATCCTAGATTTAAAACCTGTCATTATCAATGACGGACGCAAACGAGGCTAAAGGGTCAAAAAACACAAAACATGACCCTTAGCCTCGTCTCGATGTTAAAATAATGCAGATACCAGTGGTCCGTAGCATAGACGTATTCAATTACGATAACAGCCATTACCCATGACTCATCAATCATGAAGTATTAAATCAAGTCAATCAACTAGGTTTGACAATTTATATAACATTGATGTAATATTATTTTTTATGATGTACAATAAGTACAAGAACAATACACTGAGGAAATATATACTGTGTATACTTATGCAACTATTTGACCCTACATACTGACCTTTTTCCGTAGTTTTCCTCGAATATGACACAGCCTTCTCGTGCCATCAAAACACAATGCTTCAAGTCGGCCATTCCCCAACATTTTTGTCACTTGAGCGTATTCTATCACAAACAAAACATAACATAAACCTCTGGAATACAGATATTGTAAAGATTTGAATAGTTTAAACTCATTTTAAAGTACCTTGCCCGTCTTCTTTAAACACGAGTTCGCGTTTTTCTGACTCATTTTCGTTCTTTCCTCTTCGGCGATTTTTGCCTCCCTTTCCTTTAAAAATGACAACAAATTAAAGTATTCCAGTTTCTATGCAAACGATAAATTCAAATATACAATACCTTTATTCTTGGGCATCTTTGAGTAGGTTTTTTTTCTGTATTTAAAAGTTCAAAATTTTATAAACTCAGTCAAACACGCTCTTGTTGAAAACACTCAGTAAAGAACTTGGTAACCGCGCTCTAATGTCTCATGCGTGGGCTTCGGCGCGCGAGGTACACGCGAGTGTTATTTCACGCGATTTTGCCGATAATAATAATAACACTTTATTTATTGAGGATAAGATTTAACAAATATAAAACATTTTCCGTGTTGATATACAGTTATATCAACACGAGTGGAAATTGGGAAAACGAGAAATTGTGTGGAAACACGACGCCCGAAGGGCGGAGTGTTTTCACACAATTTCGAGTTTTCCAAACTTCCACGAGTGTTGATATAACTATATATCAATACGGAAAACATGTTTTATATTTGTTTTATAATATAGCAATGTCAAA